TAAAAAGTTCTGACCAATTCAGAATTGTACGTATACAAGCTTATACAGTGCATATATAGCTTATTATAGGAAAGAGGGGGCAAAAGTAAAAACACTACCACTGGTTTACTTTTAGGTTTATTTGCATAATTTTGGGTCAGGTTGTTCCACAGATGTTATAGAACAAATTAAAGCAAGAAAAAAAAATTAGCTACATATATAGGACTCACTCCACTAAAACATTTTATGCAAATGATTGTATAGGAATGTAGTCCAGGCTATTTTTAGAAATCTTCTTTCTCTCTCCCTTTTGGGGTTTTTGCCTGCCTATTTTTGGGTAAAATTTGGTCTAGATTTGGAATTTGATGTCTGAAATTGCATTATCTTTCAGATTTGGTGAGATGATGAGAGACTTAAAGGCGGAAGGCTAATTCTAAAAATAGTCGTTTTGTGAAGTGCCAAACTCTAGCGGATGAGTATAACCGGTAGTAGTCTACTTTCAATTTTAGTAGCTCAAAATTTTCATGGTCATCATATAATGAATTTTTTAGGAGACATTGAGAATTGGTCAGGCTTTCATTCGACATATTGGAAAGCTTTCAACGAGATTTCTGGAAAAAGTTATAGAAGGTTGAATTTCGTGTTTTAACATGGGAAGAGATGGCAAATGAATTAGTGGAGTGAGTCCTGTCTGGTAAGGTCATTTATTTTTTAAAATTGATATTTTTCAAAAAGTTGTGAATGATTTTGTATGANATTTTCAGAATAGGTAGAATAAAGACTAAATTACTTTTTATGGCTTCATTTGCATATTTTTTTGTCCAAAATTTGAATTTTGGCCACTTTTATTGAAAAACGCCATTTCAGCCAAATTTCGACCTGTCAACTTTGCAGCAATGTATCAAAATTGTAATTATTTTTTTTTCTTCACATGTTTTCACACAAAATGGATGCCTTTAACACATGCATTAGTGCCAGGCTGCAAAATTCATCTTTTTTGGCTATAAATTCCTCTTGCAGGATATGGCAGGGGGCTTAATTTTTGTCATCAAATGGGAAGTATGGGGTAATATCTATTCAATGTCCCATCAGTCATAGAAGAAAGACCATGAATGTGCATAGATTGGCTTTCATGTTTATGAATATTTTGTAATGCCAAAACGAGTGAGGGGGGGGGGGGGTTAGGGTTAGGGTTAGTTTAGTGCTGGCTTTGACAGTTCTGTTGCCAGATTGTAGAGTTGTAGTATAAAAGA